CATTAAAAAAGAAGAAAACTATTTTTTTTTTAAAAAGTCCCCACCCATACATACACGCATGCAAACATGCGTCGGGGGCGCATACCTGCGATAACGACGATTGCGCACAAACCGATGAGCGGTAAAAGCTTTTAAAGTGTCGCCTATGGCCAATTTTGGGTATGGTAGCTTTCTGCGATTTCGCGGGTGCGCGCAACTTTAAAGCTTGACATTTTTGGTGTCTATTTACCCGACGTGACCCCGTCTTTTATATTTTACAAAAAAAACTGGATAATAATAAATGTTTCCTAAGATAATGTAAAAAAAAAACTTATTTTTTTCAATATTTTCAATAATTTTTCCTCATTTATAGTAAAAAATAAAAACCGCAGTGATGATTTAAATACCACCAAAAGAAAGCTCTGTGTCCCCAAAAAATGGTATAAAATGAATTTCAGTACAGCGATGTATGACTATAAATGTCAGTCCAAAGTACTGCAGGCTGAATACTGAAAAATGGCATGGACAGGAAGGGGGTGTAAACACCTGGTCTTCAAGCGGTTAAAGGAGAACTATGAGGTGAGTGAAAATCAGTCATCCTCGTAGTTCGAGCTGACCTGTGACAATGAAACTGTCACACGTCGGCTCAATAGATCGGGAAGTGAGCGAACGCATACCGTCGCTCTCTCACTTCTCGATCATCTCCCTGCAGAGGGCAGTGACGGTCAGTCATCACCTCCCGCAGGGATTCCCCCCCTACCTGCTCCGATTCTCAAGTGCTGACTGGGGGAACGGACGGGGGAGGGGGCGGGTACAGCTGGCTCTGCCTCTAGATAGGCAGAGCCTGCTGTCACGCAGCTGAGGGGATCTCGACCGTAATGTCAGGATCCGTCCCAGGCTGCGGCGGTCTCAGTATATCGTGAGCTGTAGCTTGCGATATACTGAGCTTTGGGTCACGGGAGGACGCTAGTATATGTCCTCTCGTGACCCTGGAGAAAAACACTCGCCTCATAGTTCTCTTTTAAAAAGATGACTTTTCTGCAAAATGTACTGCTCACTTACTGTTTTCTGCATTTCACATGCTTCAAAACTGTAGTATAAAATGAGGCATATGCAAAAGTGTTGCAGTCTTGTCATTGCTTAGGAAGAAATCACAGCCTCCAAACTTCCCCTTGAACACAGAGGTTTTCATACTTACTTTAGGATTTTCCCCACTCCTTTTTTGGTAGTTGGGTTATGTTTTAGATCCATGATTTGTTGGAGTGTTCAGCTTGTTTTCAGTCTCAATTTCTATAATAACTGCAGAATATTGGCCTCCATGATATGGTGAGTCCTCATGTCATTTTACCTACACAGTCTGCTCTGTACTTCTACAGAGTGCTAAAAAGGTAAAAGCTTCACCGCCATGCTTTAAAGTGGACCTGGTGTAAAACTGCTAAAGTAACCATATTGCTGAAGTGCAGACGCCTTGCAACTGCTGATTTAGTCTTAAGATTGTTCTGTCCCAGTGGATCCTCTTGGTTTGCTGCCCAGACTGTGCATGGAGCCTTGAGTTCTGCGATTTCCACGACAAAGTTCCCTACAACCCTCCTGCATCCAACTGTCAAATACCAGATCCTCTAATGTTCACTGGAGTCTTGACCATGCTTTAGTTCCAGGAGTGCCAGCCAGGAGGGGGTAGGGCTTTATTTCACTTTGAGGCCCCATTTACAACCTGAGCTTATGATTTGAAGTGGCCTAACAAACATTGATATGAAGTCTAACTCGGGTACTCTCCTGCGCTTCAGCACTGTTATCTTTGGAACATTTTGGAGTGGGTCAGGTTCACCTTATTGCTGAGCTGAATTTAATCTATTAAAATAACTACATGGAAACTGTTTTAACTGACAAAAGAATTGTAATCCTGTTCAGTTTTGTCATCTTGGCACTCCTACCAGACAGCGCAGCAGTGTCCTCAACTACCACTGCAGTAGCAGCACTCATGCATTGGACACTCATGCACAGCATCAGAGCTTTGTGAACATCCAGCTTATGATTTTTGCTTTGAACATCTGATAAAAATGATTTTTTTTCCCAAGCATAAACTTGATTGTGTCATCAGACCACTTTCTTTAGTTCCATTATGCTTCTAGCTTATGTTTTAGGTTGCAGAGGTTAACTTTCCCAAGTCATCCTTCAGGGCAGTTACAAGAGAGGTAGGTTCTGCCCGCCTACAGTACACACAAGCACACGGGGGAATTTATCAAAACTGGAGCAGAATAATCTGGAGCAGTTGCCTATGGCAACCAATCAGCTTCTCTCTTCAGTTTCAGTTAAGGTTTGAAAATGAAAGGTGGATGCAGATTGGTTGCCATGGCAACTGCTCCAGATTCTGTCTACTCAAGTTTTGATAATTCCCCTCAATGAGTTTAAAAGCTCCCTTACAGCTCCAATCCCTCAGTTCTTGTGTTGTGGGATGCATTGCGCTTCCATTGCATTGCACGGTGCTATCAGGTTTTTTTTTTTTTCTCGGCTGGGTGGAGATTTGTAGGCAGCTTATAGGAGGAGTGTTGTTACATTAACATTATAATGGCCATAAATAGTCTAATGTGTAGGAAGGTGACACAGAAATGTCACCTTATTGGCAGTCAAGTGTGGTAGGGGTGTGTGAATGACTAAATAGATTTACAAGTTAGCAGATATGACGGCTCACATAAATGTCTCCTTTGTGATTGTTAGTTTTCTGGTTTAGCCGTTTTAGATGCCAGTAGCACTTTAACCAGTTGACATCCGCGGTGTTAAACCCCCTTCCCATCCAGGCCATTTTTCAGTATTCAGCGCTGCGGTACTTTGACTGACATTTATTCCGTCATGCAGCTCTGTACTGAAATTAATTTTATACCATTTTTTGGGGACCGATGTAGCTTTCTTTTGGTGGTATTTATTCACCACTGGGGGTTTTTATTTTTTACTATATTAAGGAAAAATGACCGAATTTTTAAAAAAAAAAACAGTTTCCCCTATATTAAATTATAAAACATATATTATTACCCAATTTTGTGGTAAAATATAAAAGACGGGGTCACGTCGGGTAAAAAGACACCAAACATGTCAAGCCTTAAAATTGCGTGCGCGCGCGAAACCTCAAACGATAATACCCAATGGGATGGATTTGGAGGTTGCCATTACTGACCTGCTTTTGAAATTGCTATTCAATTGGCTATCATGCTAGCTATAAGATTAGTGCAAGAAGAACTAATCTCCAAACTAGTTCTGGGTCAGTGACTCAAATAAGGCCAGTGGGTTAACTTGACGGTCAGGAAGCTAGCATTTTCAGCATGAGGTTCAGTGGTGGTTTTTATATAAAAAGTTTCCTTTCAAGTCTCAAGCAGACTAACCATATGTCCTTTTTTTTTCTCCTGTACAATTTTAGATATACAAGAATTTTATGAAGTGACCTTACTGGACAATCCTAAATGTACTGACAACTCTAAGCATCCGGAGCCAGTTTTGCCTGTGAATACATGGGAGTTCTCCAGCCTTCCCAGCACAACAGTAACATCAGAAACACTTCCAAGCAGCCTTAGTGGAGAGGTAGGTTTATTTATGTTTCTTATTACCAGTTATTCAGTTATTTAATCCTGAAACAAATATAATTTATTGAATTAATAATTGCAGTCTATAATAATTTATGGTTTAGATTTCTTGCTACCAATTATAGATGTGGTCCGTTCAAACTGACCATAAGAAAGTAAAAAAAAAAAGTGTAAAAATGACATGTTAAAACTATAAAGTAAACAGTCAGAGTTGAGATCTGTGTATGAATTCAGCTTCCGATATACATTTTTAATGGCTGTCCGCAATGGACCACTATGCAGAATATATATGCATCTTTCCCTTTTCATTCTTTAAGGGGCACAGGATTACTGCCACCTACCGGAAGGAAGTGAACATGGGCAAACAATAAGCCGTTGACCTGTTAGGTCTGACCCCCTCCCATTTCCAGCATGCTTCAGTGTTTTTTCCAGTGTCCCGGGAGGATGGATTTCTTTAATGAAAACATTTGACCTCCCTCTTTCTTTTCTTTTTTTTTTTTTCTTAACTAGCCTTTTAATTTTTTTTCTTCAGTCAAGACCTCCTCTACATGATGCAGAGCTGGGCTCTCTATGAAGTTATCCAGATTGTTGTTTCCTTGGTGATGCCTTAAAGGGTGTAACAGGACCCTGCTGTATCAAACATTGCAGGGATGGCTGGGAATGTGACTTTTGGGTTTTGGGCTCTGTCTGTGAAACTTCCCTGACCTTTGGGTACTGTGTTAGCCATAGCGCTTTCCGGGTCCAGAGCTGTGGAACAGCCTCTTGTGTGACAGAGTCTCTGAAAACCCTTAATGTGTATTACAGACTGACTGAGCGTCAGGAGCTACTACACTTATCGGTAATGTTGAACATCTCCACCACTCACCTGTTCAGTTGGTTTCTGCTTAAAAAGGTTAACACGCTGAGGAAAAAAGGGGTTATAGCCTGGATAAAGCATATCTCATTCTATACATGCACTTGCTACGATTAGTCTTAAAAGTTTTTTTGTTTCTCCCATCTCTTTATAGCCACTGTGGTTACTGCCTCATAGCTCCTTTCTGGGATTGGTGTACTCTTTGGTGCAGCATTGGGGACCATATCCAGGCACTACCTAGAAGAAGATGTAGGGACAGCCTGTAATATTGCTTCAGGCAATGGATCCTGCGCGAACCCCCCCTCGTGTTAGCTGCTATACAGGTTCAGGGCTGTAGTCCACGGGTCTGGAGGACACCTGTCCCCTCAATTCTATTGAGGAGAAACTCAGTGTGTGCCTAGTCTTTCTATGGTGACAGACATCGGCCTTATTCTGTACCACCAGTGGGACACAGTTGTGCAGCTGAAAGAAAATCGGATGTCATTCTGGCTGGGGTGGAGCTTTGTCAGTCGTGCATGTGACAGGTGTGGACTTTCTTGGCTGTCAACATCTGTATCCGGGGGAATGTGTTCCCTACCTGGAATGTGTTCCCTACCTGGTAGGGAACACATTCCCCCGGATACAGATGGTGTTTTTCATGTTGTTCTTTATGTGAAAGTTCCTTTGACTCATGGGATTTAAATTTTGCTTCCATTTGAATCTTCAAAAACTGCCCTTTCAATGTATCCAGTATATTCCCCTCTTTCTTCTCACCCACAAGTTTGATTTCCTTGATTCTATCACTTCTGTAAGATGTGTGTCTGTGCTGGCTGCCATGTCCTGTGAAGAACCCTTTTTGATCTTGCACAAGACAAAGTGGTGCAGGGACCTTGAGCCTCCTTCCTTTCTAAGGTCATTGTTCTGCCATCTCTATGTCCAGCTTTAGTACATGAGGAGGAGATTCTAGGCTAATTTTTCCCAGATTTGCAAGGCTGACACCTGGTCCTCTGTTCATACATTCCCTACATTCATCAGGTGGATGTTGAAGCCTCATCTGATGCCAGCTTTAGGCAAAAACTTATTTTAGATAGCACCCCCCAGTTTTATTCTATTAATGTAGGCCTGTTTTTTTTTTGGTGTGATTTACGACCTCTCGGTTGAACTGCTTATGGATGCCAGTCGTATTTAAATTACTCAATCTTGTGTCTAATTTCTTTCTCTGCAATTCTGGGAAATGGGGAAGATGGTAATTCTCAGACAATTGGGTTATATGTAGCTTCCTCCCTCCGGGAGGTGGACACTGGCTGTCATGCTTCAGTTTTTTTCTAGTGTCCTAGTAGGTTGGATGCTTTTTCTTCAGCTTTAAGGAAAACTCAGTCTATATTTTTACTTCAATCAACATTCACTGTACTTTGTGGATGTTTTATGTTCTCTTCAGTCATTTATCATGCTACTTGAGCTGGTCTCTACACAGCAAGCTATCTGAATTGGCAGCAGTTCCTCAGGAATAACTTCGGAGGCTGTACCCAGACCCTCCTGGACCAAAGATTGCACTTTGGGCTTTGCTTTTGCCAATACCTTCCTTCTTTTTCCTTCCCTTTTTTTTTTATTTATATAGGCATGTGGATCTTCCACCCCTTCCTTAAAAGGACTTGGTTTGCTACTCTATTTCACATTAAAGGTTTCCTTCCCATCCTCTCTTAAAATTGCTATTGAAAGGGCTGTTATCATGGATCCCTCGTTCCCTGAAGTCAAGTGTTATCGGTGTTCTACTTTGACCCCCAGCTGTTCATTTGTTGTCCATGTTTGGGGCATACTCTTTGTCCAACATTCCTTTCCCTGAAGTCAAGTACCTTTTAGGCTTTGGCATTTGTCTAACAAGTATTCTTGTTGTACTTGTTGTTGCCCATTTTTTGCTGTTGGTTTACGTTTTTTCTTCCACCTGGTTTTTCCTTCTGGTGGTTGCATTGTTTTCCTCCACCTTGTTTGGGACAATTATTCTTTCAGCATAAAGGTTTCCCCTTAGTGGTGCTATCAGTTCTGCTCTGGAACACCAACATTATTATTTTTTTCTTTTTTTCCCACATCATTGGTTTTCTCAGTGGCTGTTGTTGTTATACAGTCATTTTCTTGGAGTTCATTAACAAGCACAGGTCCCACCCCTGTGTCTTGTGGTAATTCTTTTCTGTAAAGATGAAATATTCTGGGAATGGCAGGGATTGTACCTGGCTGGCCAACATCTTTTTTGTTGTTGTTTTTGTTTGCTATTCTCTATGTCCTCCTGTAGCCAGCAGTATAACCCAATTTATCAGAATAACAATGACTTGTCCCTTCTTGAACTCCAAGAAACTGGTTTTGCAGAATCATAAGCAATCGGATCTAAACTCTAAGAATGAATGTTGCATACTCATTGAGTGTGTCAGATCTTTAGAATCAAAAAAGACAAAATTGAGGGCGCAAAGCTAAGGAGGGTTATCTAGCTGGGCTGAACGTTGTAAGAGGAACGGCAAATTAAATAGTGTACTTACTGGAGTGGGTCCGAGGGTCGGATGAGGACCGGTCTGTGGGAGGATCATGAAGTCCAAGATGAGTGTTCTCAATGGAGGCTGGTGTGCTGCCTGAGGCTACTCATCTCGAGAAGGTGAGAGACGGAGGGGAGGGAGCGGGTGGCAGCACTAAGATATTGTCCGTATCCCCGCTGCTGTGGTGTGAAGTTTCGGCGGTGTACACGGATAGTGTCTGGCTGGGCTGCTGTGGCTGCAGCTGTGGGTAGTGCGGCTGAGTCTATGTGTGGACCGGGGCTTGACAAGTACACGGGCATTAATGGTGTGGTAGTTCAAAGGCAGCCGGGAAGCTGCCAAGGTGATGGATGGTCAAGTCAGTGTAGTCAAGGTGGAGGATCGGGAGCAACGCGTTTCGAGGCTAAGACCTCTTTTTCAAGCTCAACAGGAATGGTAAAAGATACTCATCTTGGACTTCATGATCCTCCCACAGACTGGTCCTCATCCGACCCTCGGACCCACTCCAGTAAGTACACTATTTAATTTGCCGTTCCTCTTACAACGTTCAGCCCAGCAAGATAACCCTCCTTAGCTTTGCACCCTCAATTTTGTTTTTCACTAGCACAGGCACTCCTCCTGTCTTACAGGGCTGCAGGCTAGTTAGGCACACATACTTCCCAGGCCCTATCCGAGAGCGCTGTTCGTACCGTCTTTGTGTGCTTTTTTTCAGATCTTTAGAATGCAGCATGTTCCAACTGAAGGGTTATTTAGTGGGGTGTATGAAGATGGTTGCCTTTTTTACTTTTCTTAAACAAAATAGACCTTGATTTCCATTTAGTTCATTCAGTTTAACCCCTTCATGACTGAGCTTGTTTTTAGTTTCTGTTCGTAAATTACTGACACACTTTTGACATTTTTGCTGTGTGATTCTTCCACGTCAGTAATATACTTTCTTACAAAGTGCACCCACACATTATATATTGTTTTTTAGAGGACAGATAGGGCTACATATTTATATCACATATGTGTGTCTAACGCCTCACTTAGGACAAATAAAATATAAAAAAAGAGGGAAAAAACGTAAAAAAAACCATTTTGATTTGTAGTATTTTTTTTTACAAAACCAGCACAGCTAAAAAAAAATGCAATAAATACATTCATTTATTTGTCCCTTTATTATTATTTTATTTTTTACACATTTTGTTTTGTTTTTTACACGTTTCACTTTCTTTTAAACTTAAAAATGTTATTTTATTTAATTATATCAAGCAGTCATTGTGAATTAATCTCACTATTACTGCTTGATAAATGAATACATGTTTGGTTATTATCAGGCTGCTTTAAACTTCAGAACAGCCGATAATAAGTTAGTGACACTGATCCTGCAGCAGTTCAGGATTCAGCTGTCACTAAAGGTTTTCTGATTGTTGCAACAACGATCAGCAAACAAACATTCTTCTTTCAGGAATAGATACATTATAGGAATAGACACATTATGTATCTACAGATGTTCCTCACTTACCGACTTACCTGTTTTGCGACCACTCGCACTTACGACGGAGTGCCGATCGACCTCCGACCTTGCGCGTCAGCGTCAGTGCGCCGTGTCGCCGGCGGAAGTGGTGTCCTCCGATCTTCATTGCGGGTCCTGGTAAGTATTTTCAT